ATATTTCTTCAAACTTCTATTACTCTACTTCTACCTTATTAAAAGAGACACTCTGTTCCAGTGGATTAAGCGTGTTGGCAGCAGCAGCTGCAGCTGTAAGCTGTGCAGTAAGGGCCTGTAACTGAACAACAAGACCAGCATCCAGGGCTTGAAGTAGTGAAGGCTGAGGTTTCTGCTGCTGAATCTGCAGTGTCTGTATTAACTGCTGAAGCTGAAAGAGAGGACAACTGCATTAAACAAGAAAATAAAACCAAAACACTAGTCTTTTCCCCTTCCAGCTAGGAAAAAAACCTCAGGAATGAAGTATATTATCTAACCTATGGCTATTATTTCATCTTAATCTGTTTTCAGTTATGGCAAATTATGTTCCCACTTACTGGCTAATTTGTTTTCTGTGGCTGACAAGACATGCAGGTGCTTCTTCCTCCTAACTTGCTCTGACAGGTTGCATGATGACCAGTCACCACTCAGGATTTCCTGCTTTCTAGGGTTCCCCCTCTTCTGTTTCTCCAGTTTGATTCCTTCTGACCTGAAAAAAATCTGTTAGCCTACTCCAGCTTCCTAAGGGCCCCATCTATATTAGGAAAATCTGTATGCTGTATGCAACAATTTTATAAAGAAAATAATTACACTGTTGCAAGCTCCACTTCAAGTTGATGCAACATGTCCATACTAAGAGTTTGCACTAGTGTCTCTGAATTAGCCTCAAGGGAAATCTCATGCTGAAACTCAGGTCTGAAGTGATAGAGTGCAACTCCAGCTGTTTCAACAGAACCATAAAAAGCAAATTAACTAGGAATTGGGAATATAATTTGACTTCCTGCAATGGCACAGACGCAGGGTTCTGTATAGCACTATCTTCAGATAAAAATGACCTACAACAGTTCAGGAGATACAATGTTGAACGACAAGCAGCAGCTCTGGGGCAAGATAATGCACAGCAACAACCCCAAACTCCTCCATCCACTCTGGCGAAGACTAACACAGCAAACGCTGCATCTACAGTTTTCTGACTTTAAAGAACAAAATATGGGGAATGCCAAAAGGCAGATGTAAAAATTTTGTTTCAACAACCCTACTGTGCAACCCAGGAGAAGTCTAATATTCCACTGGAGTAAATAGTAAACATCAGCAGAGAAGGAATTTTCAAAAGCTCAGTGAATCTCCTGGAATGGAAGCTAAAATATTTGATCAGAGTGTATCAGGATGCCCTAAGAGTTTCCTCCGACATATCTAGGGGAGGAAAATAAAGTAATATAGCTTCCTCTAAAAGTTTTTAAAACAAATGCATCATTAGGACCATCCAACTGTTTGGTATCTCGTATTTTCCTTATCCTGACTTACTATTTGTACGTAACTTTTTACAAGTTATCCTACTGAGGAAAGCAAGGCTAACATTTTCACATGGAGATCAATACCTCTGTTAAATGGAGACCCTCCCAAGAAATTGTACAAATCTATCTTAATGAACAAGGAAAAAACATTATCCTTACGGAGAAGCCCTCTTAAAGTACCTCAGAATTAGAGGAAGTAGTCTTTTAATACTTCCACACGGTTAAGCCCCTGCAGCCTTTTCTTTGGATATTGCTGGATAAAAGTTGGATAGATCTAGATAGTCCAAACTATGCTGACATAGACCTGATTATCTTCAGGTTCATATTTTATCTCTTCAGGGAGTTCAATATTGAGCTCTTCTAGGGCTCACGTTTCTGAGATTCCTCCTTTATTGCCAGGGCTGGCTAGAAAGTCTGCATAAGCTGATTAGGTTCATCATCTCTTCCACATCATCTCTTCCATCAAAAAAGTATGACCTTTTCCCAAGATCGTTTTAGAGACGGCCTCTGACATTGTGAAGCAACTCTTCTTTAAAATGAGTTATTCAGACTGTTTATCCAGCAAAGCCTCTGAAAAAGCTTGTTACTTTTTAATCCACAAGAAGAGCTTTTACTGATTACCGCAAGAGGCAAAGCTGAAGAGCCACCCCCCAAACACCCTTCTTGGTTGATCCATAAAAGATGAGCAAATATGGCTGGTCCACCTTGCTGTATGTTGCTCTGTGTAGGAAGGAATCAAACTGAAGAAACAGAGATGGAAGCCCTAGCGTGGGAAAATCCTAGGTGGTCACCATTCTAAATGCTTCCATATTCTTGTTCGTCACATCTCTCTTCCTTCTGTCCTTTCCTATAGCTAGACTCTCATCTTACCTGCATGCATTCTTCTCACTCATAAAACACAACCTTAAGACGGAATCAAGTACTTTGACTGTACCTTATGGGGAAGGGACTGGCTTGGAGAACAGGAAGAAAAGATATGGAAAGAGGATGGAAAAAAACATCGCAGTTCATCTACACATCCTAAAGATCTGTACGCACATATCTTTGCATACACAGTCTGCCTCCATACTTTTCTTGGGTCTACCTTTTCTCTTCCCCCAAATCCATTTTCTTTCTCATTTTACTCTTTTGAGCTAAATATCCAAATGTGATTTCTTTGTGACCTGCTGTCTTCATAACTGTATTTACCATCTCACCTTCATTCATTTTTATGTTTCTCCTCTGCTTCTTCCTATTTTTAAAATCGGTTTCCTTTTTTCCTCTAGCTAACAATTTTTAAAACTACCTAACTTCTCTTGTTTCTCCTTCTCACTTTATATCCCTCCATTGTTTAAGAACAGTTCGACTATCTTTGTTCCACACTTCATGAAGTATCCCATAAATTCTTCTTGATCTCCTTTCCAATGACCCTATCAATTTTGCGCATTGTGATTCAATTAAAAACTGCCTGCACATGACTTATGAACAATTACAAATTGCTTAGCTGAACACTGTAAAACCGTCTCACTGAAGTAAAGAAGTTGCTGCTGCCGGATTCAGTGCTTCATAACAGCCTCCTGGTGGATGCTCCTGATTCACATGCATAGGATTTTTTTAGTACCCCATCAGATACTAAACAGGTACATCCTATGCCCCAGCCTATAACTACAGTTCAAATAAAAATCAAAGTGCCAGAGTTAGGCTTGGGCCATGCCAAAGTTCTTGCATCAACTGAACACTGATGATAATCTACATTTTTACAGAAAGACGATTCTGAGCGTTCAACTTATGTGGCTTCCGGCTAAGAGGACAGGCAGTTCAATGTGTTCTGCACATGAAGCCACTTTACTGAGCTGAACAAACAGAGGAACAGAAAAGTCAATCACTTCTTCTAAATGAAGACCTTATTTTTGAATGTTGCAAAATACTGTATTTAAAGCTAAATGCAAGATAAAGAAAAGAACCAACATACAACATATTTCCACAATGAATATACTCGCACTACATAATTCTGTGCATAGTTTAGGGTGCATTCAGCAGAGAAATGTGCTTAAACTGGCATTCCATTTCACAACTACATCCACGAAATCTTAATATTGCTCTTGCTTGATTTGTCTCCAATACTATACACAGAAGAAACTGTATGTATTGAAGCCCATCTTTTTCCAGTACCTGAAGTCACATTCTGGGATACTTTTAAGGAACCAACAGGATTTTACAAAAGGTAGTAGGAAGCTTTAAGTGGTTTACCTGGAACCTACTTCTGATGAACCACCTTATGGGATAGTTAACATGGGTACTGGACACAAAACTAAGAGATATCCATGAAAGCCATTTTCCCTTAAGTGTACCTTAAAGACACAGGGCAAACTGTGTGCACTGTAACTGCCTACAAAATATTTACCTGCTGGCCTTGAGGACTTTGTAAAATTTGTGCTACAGCAGCAAGCGTATCTGTATTAGCAATCTGAGATACCCAAGGATCAGGTAAACTTTGCACCACGTTGGCTGGAGTAACTGGAGTCACAGGTGTTCCTGAAAAAGAGAAAATTCAGTATGCCAAAATACTTTTAACATATAGCGTTAAAAATAAGTTAAAAATAAAAATATTTGTTAAGAATACTGTATAAAGCAACAAAAAACTAGACACAAACACTCCTGCTTATTTTATATAGAAAAGATTTATGGACTGCAAGAAATCAAATGAAAATGATACTATAATCTTCCCAGGAACTCAACCTTACAAAAAATAAAAGATGTAAATATTTTCTTACTAGTTATTAAATACTGAGAAAAGCATCATATTAACATCGGTTGAAAAAATTGTTCTCACACACACACACACACGCACACACAAAGGAAGAACACAAACTTCCATTAACATTCCTCAAGCAGCAGAATTACTTAAAAACATTGTGCAAGTGTAGTTCACAGATCCTTCTGCTGCTGACCTGTGGGAATTAGTAACAAAAACACTGATGAATGCAAAATAAAGGGGAGCGGCAAGAAACCCAAATAGGTTTCGCACAGTAATCCAAACCATTCAATGGAAGCAATATCTATCAAATGATAATTGTTACCAATTATCTGAATAGATTGTTCCCAATCTATTCAGAAATGTCCATTAGGCAGCCAGTAACTTGTGAATTCACTGGACTCTTGCACTTCATCCTCAGGCAGAGCTTTGAGGATTCTACTAAAAATGGATGGATTCGTCTTTCACGTGATTGTGATACAGTGAACTTCAGTAAGCTTTTCTCTCAATTGTGGCACCACTATTTAACCAAGTATTATTTTGGTTTTAACTCTGTCAGTGACCTACTGTTCTGACTTCCAAGTGTAAAACTATGCTTACCGCACTTCTACAGAACCTGAAAATATTTAAAAATATACAGTTCGAAAGTAAACACAACAGCCTAGCTCTTGTTTTTACTATTTTCTTTGATCTGTATGCTGGATATAATACATTTCCTTCTAGCTGTCTAAAGGAAACCAGTAAGATTTTTAGCATGTTGACAGCCAACATGCCAAGGCTGACACAAGTGTTGATTCAAAGTAGGATCTTAGACGATTTTTGTTTACCTGGTGTATTGTTGCTCATAGCAGCTGTAGTGCTGGGCAAGACTGGGGTCACAAATGGGGGAGGAGAATTCCCTCCTGCCATATCCAAAAGAGGCTGAATAATTTCACTCTTGAACACATTATTCTTCTGCCATAAATTTAGCACTCTAACAATTTTACTCTAAAATGAAGAAAGGATAACAAAAGGCCTGAGTCATGATTATATTTCTCGTTATTATCAATTATGGAATTAACAACTGGCAATACTAATATGTCTAGATTTAAGTATCTTTAAGTTCCAAACAATAAGAAATATCAGAACGGTTATACTAAGTCACATCAAAGACGTCTAACCCACAATCCCGACGTTGATTTATACAGGATACCTGAGGAACAGTAAGGACACGCTAAGCATACAGCGGCATTGCCTTCTCTCCACAGAAAATCAAACAGATGAAAACAAAATAAAAGTAAGCAAGTGTATCTGGCTCCTTTATATCTTTACTCTTGGAAGGTGCTATAGAAGGAAAGTAATTTTCAGGAAAGATTTTAAAGCATTACTAACAATTAAAACAGGTAATTTTTAGTCTCCTCCTATATTTTTAAGGTCAACATATATTAATGCAATTTTGGTTTACCTATGTACCAACTGAAAACTGGACATATTCTAAGAAGACTATGAACTGCTTCTATTAGAAAAGTGGAGGCTCAATATTTTGCAAGTCCTATAAAAATAAAGGCCATGTTTCTTGTATTATTTCTTGATGAAGTGAAGAATTTAAAAGTTTAAACTAGAATACAATTCCCATCTGACGACAATCACATAGTAATACATAAAAACGTGGCTCCTGAGGAAAGAAAATCAAAATTAAGACTTTATACAACTCTGTTAAAGAATTAACTCTGTTAAATTCATTGTTCTGGTTGCAAACACATTTCCATTCTTCATGTTTTGATCTGCTCCTAAATTTTTTCTCCTCTAAGCTTTATTATTACCCAATGGCAAGATTTTGCTTTGTTTTGAAAAGTTGGGCAGTAACTAGTATGTCGGGAAAGACACCTTGAGCTACTAAAAAAAAAAAATCAGTTATAAAGAAGATTTAGCAAAGTTCTTCATAAAATCTTGTGTTTGCTGCCATGAAGACGGCTCAATTCATTCAAATTCCATAAAACATGAACACTTAATTACACAATGTTTAAACCAAAGAAAAAAAGTCTGTTTGCCCAGGAATCTTAGAGCCTATTTAACTTTAATAGACAGAATGTACCAAATTTTCACCACATGCAAGATGTAAGCTAGAGTTCCTTTAAAGAAATCTTTTAAGGCTTCCATTCAGCATTATGCTACATGAGCCTTCCTTATGTCAAAGTTTGCTTTGTAAGCCCATCTCTAACAAGTCAATCAGAGGCTCTCACTTCCCTTTTCTATTCAAAATAAGAATATAAATCCATTTCTGCTTCTTAGTACTGATCTCCCCTTGCACTTTCCACGCCTGAGCAACGCATGCAAATCAGCGCTCTTATTTTTGCTACTTTAAATGTAATGCTACTATTTCTCTGTCCCCTCCTTTTTTTTTTTTATTTCTTACATTTGCTGAGGTAAAGACAAGCTGCTGTGTTCCTCCATTATGCCTTTGAATCGGGTTAAATGACAAAATGCTAGAAAACAGGTACACACTTCTTTGATATCTTTAATAGCACAATTTTTTCCTGGGTCAGATATATGGTAGAACTACTTTCACAGCAGTCAGTCTTCCCTATAATACTTAACCCAGATGCAACACAGCAGCAAAATTTCAGATCGTAGAATATATTTTCCCTAGCTGAAGTAAAAAGTACCCTTGAAAGAAACCAACGAGAGCTTTACAGACCAGAAACAGACTTTTATGTTTTACTGAACACTACCCTTCACATCAAGCACCTGTAATGTAATACATCAGTTCCCATGCGCTGAGGTATCAGAGAAGCATTAAATGACAGGATAAATGGCACTGTTTCTCACACGACAATAAATTTACTATGATATCTTTTAAAGCCAGATGCAAACTGAGTACTTGCAGCCACCCTTGCACCAGCTCTCGCTCTTCAACAGGGCAAATTATCTGTGTGCTACTAGATTTCCCAGAGTAGTAAACTAAATATTTAGTATTATACAAAACAAACTAATACTGCTTAAGGAATACAATTAAGTGAAGAGAAAATTAGGTTAGCTGTCAGAAGTTCACACTTACATATGTATACGTGTGTATACACGTCCACACGGACACGTACACACAAATTCACAGTTATATATATGCAAAATTGCGGAATAGAAGCGGCACAATTTGATCATTGAGATGAACTTAAAACCAGATTGGAAAAATGTCATTTAGCTTAAATAATCTGTTCAGCAGCACCTCAGAACTCTGCTGCAGAAGACAAGACAGATATCCATGCTAGAGTTTTTCAACTAATTTCAATTTGCAAATCCTGACATATTTTCTTGTAGAGGTTCTACCTCCTACAGGAAAGCAGGAAACCTAAGGCAGTTACAGGACGCATGCAATGACTGAACTGGCCTTTTTCACCGTTCATGGATGCCTTTGGTTTTCACATCAGCAACTGAAAAATGCGGTCGCAGGATGGCATTCAACCGTCCTAAGACTAAGCAGTCTTTCTCTTTCATTTTCCTGCCTCACCTACCACTTGATTTAGTAACTGCATCACACAAATATATGTGGAGATGAAGCCCTTGGCATTTCTCATCATTTTGTAATGTTTCAATGTGCTAATATTAAGACACTCTAGCTATTGTAAAATCAGTGTGACAAAGGAAGTTATTAAACTGTCTGCACCTTCTGCTACTTCCAACCAACCTAAATAGCATAAAAATAATCTGGTGACAATCCTGACTACTGTGGTCCAAGGGATCAGCTGCCCTGTTGGGTTAAACTATTCAAATTAGGACTTCTTCAACTGTTAGTTGTTTTAGCACCAAAAGAAAGATAACTTTAAAGACACTTTGCTGCTTTTCTATTGTTGCTTCACAGCAAAACAGTCTAGCTTGCACTGAAGACGCTGCTATCAAGAAAGATATTCACTCCTCAACAGTGAAAAAACTGCTTCATTTTCTTAATGAAAAAGGGAAGAAAATGGAAGACTGACAACACTTCCCTGTCCAACCAAATGCCTGCTTAATTTCTCCCCATCAAAATATCTTACTACCACTCATTGAGTCTTCTTGAAAACCTCACAGAAAGACCCCTTTTAACCTGGCTGGATGCATCTACCTCCACGACTCTATTCACAGAAGCAAAATTAAAAGAAATATATATAAATGCATAAAGAGAAGTCCATAATCAGGTTCACTATATTAAGCAAAAAGTGAGTTAAAGATTTTACTTTAATAGATAACACATTAAAGATTGTTTTGATTACAAGAATCACAGAATCACAGAATGGCTGAGGTTGGAAGGGACCTCTGGAGATCATCTAGCCCAACCTCCCTGCTCAAGCAGGGTCACCTAGAGCATATTGCCCAGGGTCACATCCAGACGGGTTCTGAATATCTCCAGGGAAGGAGACTCCACTACCTCTCTGGGCAACCTGTTCCAGTGCTCAGTCACCCTCACAGTAAAGAAGTTTTTCCTGAGGTTCAGGTTGGAACTTCCTATGTTTCAGTTTATGCCTGTTCCCTCTTGCCCTGTCACTGGGCATCACGGAGGAGAGTCTGTAAGAAGAGTAAGTGGTTTACCTTGTCATCCCCAGGACAACGATACAAGTTCTGGAAAGTGCTGATGATGTTATTGCTGAATCTTGGAGCAAAGACATCCTTTTCTTGTCCAAACTGATGTCGGGACTGTCTCACAATGGAGTCAATGACATACAGACCAGGCACCTTGTATTCTGGTTTGCACTATACAGAATGAAAATTTAAAATATGCACATGTGAAAAATAACATATACCGTTAACACCCGAGAGCAAATATGGATAGTTCTCTATAATTTTTAAATGGCTTATGGTATTAGCAACATCTTCTCTATTTAATAAGTCATTCCTCAAGTATCAAACTGTCTCAAACTCTCTTATAGCATTTTTGCATATTCTGAAAATATGCAAATGGTGGAAAATCAATTTCCTACCACTAAAAAACCAAACTGTTTAGAATCTAACTATCAAAATCTAGTACATGAATTGCATATTCTTTTAAAATGCACCACTATTTTAAAAGAGGTAGAACAGCATAAAGCATGAACAAATCCCAAGTAGTTTGTTGCAACTAGGCAGAAACATTATTCCAAAGATTTTTGTCCTTCTTGATGATCTAAGTCAAAATGTTAACTTTGTTCTGAATCATTAAGCAGTGTGTGTTAAGTGCTTCCCTGGAACAAGAAGGTATTTATGTGGACATCTGCTTGGCTGAGAATATACTGATGATGCTTATTTTAAAACTGTGCAAAACATATATATAAATTTACAAACAGCATAGTACTTACAAAGCACATGTGTTCCAACTGCAACTCTAATTATTTAGGTAATTTTACTTAGGCAGCAATTATAGTCTGAAAAGTAGCACAGAACTACAATGAAATCATCACTGGAATATACTAGGACGTGGATTTACTTTATGACCACTGGTTGTACGCTTTTATCAAATAGGATATCATGGAAAACCTGCGAAAGTACACTCCTTCCCTCTCTTGTTCAGATAGTCTAAAAATGTATTATGCAACACTGTAAATTCATTATCTCTAATGCAGAGCTCAGTCTATTGGCATCACATCCTCTTAGGCTTCTCCCTTGCATTTTGTGTATGTGTCAGATCATATTTTCAAATGTGTTAGTTTACCTCTTCCCCAAGCAGAATTTTATTTGTCACTTTCTACTTTTTTTTTTTTTAAATCTTGCTAGGTCCTTATATCTTTTTTCTCTTTGCTTTATATGTACGGCTTCCTCCTCAGTGTGCCATTTATTCTTTCTTTGAGGTCATTAATAAAAAGATGTTAAACAGGACTTCACTCTTGAGTTTTCCATATGAGGTAATACATACAGACCAGATATTTAAAATTATTTTTACTTCTATTATTAATACAACTTAGAGAGAAGGTGAGGGTTTCTAAACATAAACCTATTGCTTCAGGTATAAAGGAATTCATTGGTATGCAAAGCCAATTCTGCTTTTGCTTTTTATTTTTCTTAATACTATCATAATAAAAATTCTCTAAATCATTTAAAAACAAACTCTTCTGACTATTAATTTAATTAGAGCCTAGATAAATTTTTTTTCTTTTGAAAAGTGTTGACTTGCTAACATTTACAAACTCAATAGAGGATTTATTTATGCTGTAAATGTAGATACGTGTTTATAGCTGTGGCATTCTTTATTTTTAAGAATCTATACTAAAACCGTGAAATTACAATGTAACTGGATGTATTATATGGTCTTCAGAAAATAAAGTCCATATATTCTAGCTACTCCAATTTCAGCTAACTGATCATAAAAAATAAAGTATTCTGTATATACAACATGCACGTATACAACCTTTCACAATGCTCAAAATAATAAAAAACCGTGAAAATTTAGTGAAAAAACCTCAGTAAATATGCTAGGTGGAGTATTTAAAAACATGACATATACTAAGAATAAGAAAAGATGATAATGAATATGATAATACAGACAATAATAAAAAAATACAAGTAAAAAATAAAGTAGTAAAATTACATCTGGGCACTGAACTTAAGTATCCACAATCCCAGATAAGAAAGCTGTAACACACCAACTGTTCACTTTGGGAACATGTCTAAGTATGAAGATAATAGTTATATTTGGTTACTCAGACAAAAGGATCCGAGTCTTGCTCTCTCAGCAGGATATACTTGTACATGGAATGCGGTCACACCACCCTTAAATTGCTGTCTTGCCAGAGATACAGTCAACCAAGATGATAATAGCTCAGTGAGATAGGGTCATAAAACAAAATGTCATGAAGAATTATTTTACTTGAAGTTCCAATAACTTTTGTGAGATGAATTTTGAGGAAAGAAATGACTGGAGCAGGAAAGAACCCACAGGAAACTAATTAAGATGGAACTGGCATTATGGTGGACAAGTCCATAGCAGATTTTAATGGAAGATTCAATGGTCTGCGCTTCGCGTTGAGGAGGTGACTGCTTCCAGAAAAATAATTCAATCATCCAGACATACAAAATCAGTCCATAAACATCGAATGGCTAGACAAGAACTTTCACCTCTTCATCTATGATTCTACTCAAATACCAGCTCACTATTTCATGGTATTAATAATTTATGGTCCTCATTAAATTATTCATAAAAGACTGAACAAGAATTATCAAGCCCACCAAGGGAAAACATCTAATGCAGAGAGATCATTAGACAAGGTTATCAATCACAACATAGATCTGCCTTCTCCATAATCAGCAACGAATGGTTCAGAATTCAGTACATTCCCTCATAAAGTAGTTTAGGACTAAACACAGAATGTGTAAATATAATCCATACTCTTACTAGTTTGTGGAAGAGTCAGGAATAACCAGTGCAATTCCCAACAAATTGCCAATTCTTCATTCAGAGGAGAATCTCTCTTGCCTTTGAATATGGAACAGACAATCAGCAACCACTGCAACTAAAAATCAGTATTTGGAATTCAGCCAATACACGATGAATTTCAGGACATCAAACCACAAAGTGGTACCGATCGGAGATGTGCAGAGGGATAGGAGGACAGACGTATTTTCATCCTCCTATGCCTACCTATAGGAGTAAACATGGACCAGAGGATACTGGTCCCTTTTGTCAGATGCGGAAAGAAGTCAAAGGCAATGCTCCATAAGATAACTATTTGACAAGACACTGGTAGTGTATGCTACAAAGTTTTCACTAACTCCACAAAACATGTGTGTGACACACAACTTATCTCACCCTTTCCACATAAGACTTAATCTTCTATTAGCTAAATACTTCATTCATGAACTGCTTTCAGACAGTGAAAACACCATGCTGAGGCTGAACCCCGTTCACACTATCCAGCCACTGCCAAAAGATATCACAACATACACTGAGTACCAAGGAATAATATTTAAGGAGGACGACTGGTTAATAACATAGAGCAATCTAGACTGATTAGTATACTGGAGAACTGAATGGAGAATGCATCTGAAACTGTAACTTTAAGAGACTAATTCCTCCAGCTTGCTTGAGGAAATAAAGAGGCAATTTGACCACAATTTATTGCTATTTACAAAAGGAGAAGAAATACATTACAAAAGTGATCAACTGAGCAATCCAGCACAATGCAGACGAGGAGACAATAGTCACAAGTTGGAATCCATACATTTCTAATTGGAAGTAAAATGCAGTTTTACCCGAGAACAATAAACTGTTGGAAGAAAACGAAGTACAATACAATTCTCTGCTGTTCAGAATCTTTAACTTAATACCACATCTTCCCAAAAAGTCAAGCCAGCCTAGCCATAATTTTTTGGGTTTTAAGTTACTGGCAGGAATCACTGACTGAAACCCTATATCTCATGTTACACAAATGATGGGACTGGTTGATCAGCTTCCCTTCAGCTTTAAAATTATAGAAAAACCTGCCAGAAAAGCAAAAGCAACTGTCGTTTGCCAAACCACTTTCAATTTTTTTGCTGTTAGCTGTTTACATGGACTACATTTTAATTGACAGCCTATTTCAACATTAAATGAATACAGACAGAGAAATAGTCCCAAGACGGTATCAATAGTCATTCAGACCAAAGTATATCACCAGTGCAAAAGGAGCACAAACTATTTGTCTTTATGCATCATGGGTTATGATCAGCTGAACTGATTACTAGCAAAAAATTGAATGTTATTAAAAACTGAAATAGCTAATGTGTAATAAAAATATTAATCTACACAAGTACCTAAAACATGACAGTCTTAAATATTCTGCATAATATGAAACAGGGAGTTTTTCTGTGCGCTGACTCTGTGAGCATCTGTGAGTTACTTACCTTTTGAATGAATTTCTCAACACTCTGTACCACATGTTTGTAGAACTGGAAAATAAAAAGAGCATTTCAATAAAGAAGAACATGTGAAAATGCATATGCTCGCTCAAGTAATGCAATAATTATAGTAAACTCAGAATTAGAAACTCTATTTATTAACCAGTGATTCAATACCTACAGCTGAATATACCGTTTTCCTTACAATATTTAACAGCATAAAGAAAACTAAACCTCAGTTGTTCTTGTTATCTGGTTTTTTTTTAAACTGGATTTTTTTAAACGGGTGCTTGTTTAGTGGGAAGTATGAGAAGAATGTAATTACTCCTTCAAAAATCTATGGTTATCCTACTGTACATGACTGAAGATGTTAGTAAGCATATAATTCCACCATATTTTATTTATTTTCCAAGTTCACTTTAATAACCTAAAAAATGAGTATAGGAGGATCACATCCACTAAATACTTCAGAATCTTTTTTTAATCTTACACATCATTGCAATAGTGATAAAGCTCTATATAATTAAATGTTGTTATTGAAATGATAAAAATGGAAGCATGAGCTACATTCTTCCATTACCTCATAAAGTGCACTGAAACGCAAACCTCTCAAATGTAGCGAGTGAGCAAACGCAGCAGCTACTTTATATTCTATTTTCTCCTGACTGTTGCATACGGTGGTCGTTGTTTGGTGTGCAGTAACAAAAAGGAACTATTGCTTGGTATACATGACACTTGGAGTAGGCTCCACACACATTTAGAAAAGATTTTAATTTCTGTGAAATAAAATATGTCAATCCCAAATTCAAGTTACTGGATACTTTCATTTCCTGGTACATCATTCTAGCATTAAATATTCTAAGGAAAACAGCACAGTCAGGAAGATTAGGTACTGGACTGACAGCCACAAGTTAATATCTGGAAGATCAGAATTACAACTTACATGACTTTGGCAGGTTATGATGTCTCTGAGGTTCACTTTACTCAACCATAAAATAAATAATGAAACTTTTTTTTAAACCTAAACATTTCAAGACTTCCAAGTGAAATATATGATATAATATTTTGGTATTATTTAATCATTTACTTCATAGAATCATTTGTTACTATTTTTGTCTGAAAAGGTTTAAGCATTTTCATTACATCACAACCCACAGACTACTTTGCATAGACTTCTCTTATTTAACAAACCCAATGAATTTCACTCTGCTGTGATCGCCTGCTATTTCTCTGAACTACATAAAATACCAATATGGATGCCATTAATCTGAAAACATCTCTGCATCCTCAGCAGAGCAATGCAGATAGGAAAAGCATAAATTAATGGCTTTTTTGCTTTTATTCTTTCCTCTTTTTCATCTATCCTGCTTTCACTGAGTTCCCATTTGTTTTAATGGTTAACACTAATGGCATACGTCTTTTCTTCCCTGTTCTTCAGTGCTGTTTTCTGCTGCTTCACTGCTGTTCACCAATTAATTTTATTTTGTGGTAAGATAATTCTTTAATTAGTACACTAATGTTAAAATTTAGATCAATTTGCATCCAAGCAACATTAAAAATAAAATCTATGAACAATGCACGTGAAAAGGTACACTAGGAATTTATGAAAATTAAATAAAATTTTAACAATTGTATTAATCCAAAAGGAAAATATATATCTTATGTTTTCTGAAAATACAAAGAAAATCCTTCGTAGTATTATATTTATATTTGTTCTTGGGCAACTTTAGTTTCCCTTTTATATAAATTAAAAAAAAAAAAAAAAAAAAAAAAAAAAAAAAAAAAAAAAAAAAAAAAAAAAAATCTCTCTTTCAGGTCTGATCCAAGAACCAATTTGGGATAATTCCTTCTCACATATGACAGCCAGTAAATAAAGTCAAACAATAGATTAAGCTCTCTGTTGCACCTGTGCAAATCCATCACTATCTCATCTGATCATAACTTGGAAACTGTACACAGAAGAAGGAGGAAAAAAGTTCAGTAGCAAATTGTTTAAGCTATGCAGTTATACGGAGAGATGAGAAATGGAAAAGAAATGAAAATTTGTTAGCTGATTTCTTACCTTTATAGCCTTGATTGCTGCCTTGGTGATCTGTGTCATTTTAGCTTTGGAAATAGGTGGCTTGTAATCATTTAGCGAGTACAACTGAGGGGAAAAAAAAAAGAAGTAATTCATCAGATGTATATTCTGCAATTATAAAGCAGTACAAAAATGCAATATTTGTCACAAGAAAATACTACTTTTCATTTGTACCTGGTTTTAATGATATATACCAGCAATTACATACACCAGAAAAGGCATCCCCCTAAAAGGCCCAATAAAATACAATGTAACATGCAAAATGCTTAAAACATAACAGGTTTTTCTTTGCAATGGTCGCTGTATACCTAGATTTACTAACACCAAACACAGCAGACAGCTGCAGGTGGAGTTACAGAGGTAATACATGCAACACACAAACATGGTGGCTTTCATTAAGATTTCTTTCTAGGGCAAAATCTTACAGTAGAATACATGATGACCTTTATGCAAGCGTAACAAACTTTTAACCAAATACTTATGTTACCCGCCATCATCTGCCTGCAGAACCCAATCTTTTTAGTAAACAAAAAACTCCAGCCTAGTGAGAATGGAACATGTAATAATTCTGCCACTTGAAAGAGCAGATTTGGAAAATATAGACTTACTTCATTCACTGTAGTTAAGACAATTAATGTATTAGAAGCCGTACAAACGCTTAAACAAGGATTCGTTTGGGTTCTTAGTTATAATATAGTTACATAACTTCATTAGTATCTAACCAACAAAAGAGCCACAATACATAAGTAGTGGAGTTGTGCATCAACTTTTCCCCATGATGCAACAGTAACTTTATTCCTTTTATTTGAACACACATCTTCCTGACAGAAGCAAACCAGAATGGCAGATTTTCATCAGACATTTGCTACATACTGAGAACTGTACATAAACTAACTTTATAGCTATGACTGATAAGTCTTTCCTTCCCACAAAATGAGTCTGGAATCCATACTCCAAGGCTACTTATTTGCTGTGAAAACCTCAGGTTATTCACAGTATATGGCTTTGAAAAAACACTGCTCTTTACTCCTTCAACGCTGCATGTTATGAAACACAGGACTGCCCAACATTTTGCTACTTTCATATGCAAAATCCCCAGATACAAAATGCCAAATCAGTTTTAAGGCTCTTGACTTAACTTGCATTATATTTTTGTTTACAAAACATATGTTTAAAAGCTTGAAAATAGAGCCCTGATACCAGAATGCCCATCCATACAAAATCTAAGACCTCTTTCATAAAGTCAGGAACATTTGGCGTTTTTCCATAAAATGGTCACTGTAACAAAAACAAAATCACAAACAACCCTCCCCCTCCACGCGCTTTAATCCTTTAACTTCCAGAAATTCAACTATAGGTGAACAGCTAGCAAAGAAAACATCACTCAGAATGGTTTACATTTAACAAAGTAACATGCAACAGTAAACAGGATCACACAGTGGAAAGGATTTGACAAATCTTAAATATAGGCCATGCTCCCCAAGCCGCTTATAATAATTTATTGCTCTGAAGTTAACAAGAAGAGATTCTTCAGCTGTATTTTGAGTTCCCAAGAGATAAGGATTTGTTCTCACTGCAAACGTGAAATGCTTTTTCTGTACTCTCCTGTCAAAAAAGGTTTTAACTAAAAAACGCTGCACAGCTGTCAAAGTCAAGCTGAGAAAAAGTTTGGTTTGTCCAAGCATAAATATCAGTCTTTTTAGGTTCAAAGGATCTCCATTAAAACACAGAAATTCTTATTACCAGTTCACAGCTAAACATCCACTTTAAAAAAAAACTATTATCACCTCTCATTTTACAGGGTGCTAATCACTGTTGCAAAATATTTTGAAGTGCGTGGGTGCTTCCTACACAACAAAAAGCAATAGCCTTTTTTGCAATTTTGCAACATTTAACATAACATTTGCTTTTGGATAAATTAAGAATTGTTGCAGTTCCATTTATAAAATTAAAACATTTGACATCTCTTAAAACTTCCTCACTGAATCTTTTAGTATTGAACAGAACTAAACTAGGCAGAGATATGAATCCAGATTATAGCTTAATTCAAAACAAAGGGGGCCAAAACCCAGCTTTCCTGAACACAGAGATACGCTAACGTGCACAAATGCTTCCCTAAACACCATCTGATAGCACACACGTTCTGGGCTCTACCTTCACCAAATTCATACATCGTGCTTATGAAGTCAACCAGGGATCCCATTCCACTTGCTCTGCTTGCACTGCTAGGCTGGTTAGGCAGAGAAGCGAGGCTTCGTTGGCCCTCTAGGAAAGAAACCCAGGGTTTGTGTCCAGCACACATGAAAACTCTTTACGACAATAGACATTTAAAAGATATCTGACATTCTTCAAATGTAGTTAAAACAAAACAACTGCAATTTATTCACGATTATAATGTATGAAAGTAAAGAGTTAAAAACATATATATTATTTTTATTTTTAAGAACTTTTGTTGATCTTCTAGTTCATTTTTCTTGTACGCCTCTTGTACAACCGCTTACCCAAAACAGCTTGCTAGAACTTAGCTCACTGGTAGCAGACAATCACTTGCCCTCGCATCAGAAAAGCTTTTAAGAAAATTAGAAAAAAAAAAGCCAAGGTGACTAAATAGCAAAGTCAGTGAAGCCGTCTGAAATAAAGGGGCATCTCAGAAAATCAGTAGTGCCCAAATGAGGAAAATAAAAAGTGACTATAAACTCTAGGAGGTTACATGTAAAAAATAAAGCAACCAAGTTTGAGAAACAACCAAGAAGAGGCATAACAATAAGCCCTTTTCAAGATACAGAAGGAACAGAGGGCTCCTACAGGGCCAAAAGATAATCAGCATATAAAGGATGACAAAGCCCCCTACCCTGCTTTTAGATTTATTCACTGAGGACAAACTGTGGAGACTTCCCATACCAAAATCTTCCTGAAGTGTGTTTATAAGAGGCTACAAAACAAATTCACAAAGTGAAAAATAATGAACTTCCAAAACTAAATTCTGAAGGAATTCAAGAATGAAATAACCACTAACTCTGATTTGTGAATTCTCACTTAAAATACTCCCAATCGTGTAGCACCAAAATACAAGAAAACGTGAATTTCTGAGAAGGGCTCAAGAAGAGACTTGAGAAACAGATCTGTCAAGTTTGATGCTTGCACCAGAAAAAATTACAGAAATTACTTGAAAGAATAGAATTAGCAGGCACACAGATAACTCCACACTGTTGCTGTAAGGGAAAGCCATATCTCAGTCTACTGAAATTCTTTCAAAGGTTCAGTGAGGACACAGACAAGAGAAATCACTGATATAGTCAACCTGGAGTACCAAAAGGCACTAAATAAAAATAATAAAAAAGGCATGACAAATAACCTGAGAAAATACTTTTTAAAGACAGGAGACAAACAATTTGAACAAACAGTCATTTTGTTTACAGTAAAGCTAAGTCCCAGCGCACACTCCCAGAGCATCTGTGCTGTTCTATATATTCTGGAGAGGCAAGATAGCCTGACTATCAAAAGCTGCAAGAGAACGTAAGCGATACTAACAAGCAGTGAACATCGGCTTTGAAGCTAACTGTTGCTATTCAGAAATGAGATCTGCTGATACAAGAGACATTTCTTTGAAAGAATCAGCTCAATAGTAAACCAGAAAAATCTCAATAGCAGTAAAAATAGCAAATAGAACCGTATGACCAAAACACTATTAAGGTCGCTGTATTAACCTACAGCACACTCTCATTTTGAATACTGTTCAAATTTCCACCTTCCCTTCCAGTCTCCAAGATTCACAGGAAATCATTAGGGATAAGAAAAACCACAGAGCAGCTTCTAAGCGAAGAACTAGGACTCTTCAACCTGCAGATTACTGAGGGGATGGCCAACGTCTATAAAGTCCTGAGTAATGGAGAAGGTCCACTGGGGATGATGAGGGTGAGGAGTGCCCCAAGGCGGGAAGAAGGCAGAGTCAAGCAAATGAGGGTGGTTCCAGGTTTCCAAGTTTGTATTCCTCAGAATTCCACACCTCGGAGGGACGCTTTGGCGTGCCTTAGAGCAATGTGATTCACCTTTAAATCGTTATTACCACCATGGTAAATCTTTGCCCAGATACCATAATGAGACACGCCCATTCTTTTAAACAACTGTATAAAACACAGTTAATCTGTATGCTAGTATAAAACACAGCTCTCAGTTCAAAAAGAACTTATTCGAATGAAGTTTGAGCCTTATCACATCAGGCAGCTGCATTTTTTTCCAAAGTGGAAATATAGTTCATTTAAGAGGGTCAAAGGTGAAATGCTGTAAACTTCAAACGGCAGATAACCCTGGAAGTTTTCAGATTTTTTGAAATATATTAACTACATTACTTTCTTCTTCCAGCTTGTACTGTAAAGGAACACATACACACAAATCATCATGCAAACTTCAAAAAAACGTGCTTTACAGTTGAGATGCTATACAATTTGGTGTGTTTTGAAGAGACTCTACCTAATTCCATTCACTAGTCATTTATTTACTTTCCTGGATAAACATGAACACCTCCCGAATGCTTCCCTGGAAAGAAAAAAAAATTGATCAGTATTTCTTTAAGCACCTGATCACTATGAACAGACATCCGACTACTAACCAAACCAGTTTCCTCTAGTTATTTTCTTAAGTTCACAGCTGGAAGGACTTGCATAGTTGAAGCGACTGCATCAGTTTTTTACGGCAAACATCAGTATGTACAGAAAGTCGCTTTTAAAATCTGAGGCACTGCTGTAGTGAATGCCTCAATCTGGGGTCTCCTTGTTGAAAAGCGTTCTAAGGGAATAAAAACTGCTCTGAGAACATGGTACATCTATCAATAGTTGATGACATAAACACATATCTGTTCAAAAATCTAATTCAAAAACCACCTTGCATGTTGTAAGATCAATTTCTTTCTCCTACTCATTCAGTATCGATTTTGCACCAGAACTAAAAAGAATAAGCCAATCCATACAAAATTAATAACCGTTTCCCAGCTATTTTAGAATCTGCTAGGAAAAAAACATATGTTTTGATATTTTCCTGTAAAACAGAGCTGCTACAAACACTTGTGT